AAAAAAAAAAATTACCTGCTGGGTTATAGAAACAGGAAGGGGTTGGCAGTGATTTTGGTGGGTAGATGTAGAAACCGGAGGACAGGTCAAGACCAGTTATATTCAAAACATTTTCGTTTAATGAACTAGTGCTGCTTTTTCCACCGACATTCGGTATGTTCGCAACCTGCAGTAGCAAACAAATTTACAGAGAAAAAAATTGGCAGCACAACTTTTTATAACCCTTTTACGATTAATAGTCAGTGCAACATATATGACACAAATGTTGATCATTAACAAAAGCTGGAGAGCGAGTGCTGGCCGTGACAAGAGATCTATGGAACAAACAATACTTGATATTCTCTTGCGTGACCGTGTAATCAATCAGTCACCCCGTCAAATAAGCGGTGTGCAAAATGTCATTATGTTTAGGCGAAAAAATAAATTTCGATGGGCAAGTTGTGCCGTTCGTCTTGCCGACGACTGTTGGACCTTATGCATTAACAAGTAGTAATTGCAAGGAGGAAAACGGTTACTGAGACAACTCTGAAAAAATGGGCGCGCTGGATGGTGTCAGTGATGATCCCGACGCAAGAGATGAGGGTCGGTCAGGACTGAAGGCTCTGGCAGAGCTGAGCTTGACGTGTACGTGTGTTTTCATAATAGAAGTGCATTTGAATTCTAAGCCGAGCGTTCGAACGATTTTGACAATCTAAGTATTTATCAACAATAAACTCTATCAGGGCCAAGCAGTGAAATACTGGCGTCATTCTAGACCAGCAGCCTGTTTGGTCACTGCGTTACCCTTAGGTAGCTATAAATAAGAGTGAATAAAGTAAAAGAACGCGATACAGGAATAGTGAAATAGGTAGAGAGTATGTTTTTAGATATAGCCAGCAAAACGCTCCTTCTACTCTTTGTAATATTGAAAAAATTTCTTTGAAATATCTGACCGTTTGGGTGCTTTCTCCGTCTCCTTTGTAAGTAAGAGCTGTTTGTACCGGCGGCTCGTTTCTGTAGCTAAATTTGCTGGGGTAAACTTGTTGATGGGCTGTCTGGCCTGATGCTTCATTCCTGCTGCTGGAGCCGATCTCCGGGCTTGGAGCTGAGCCTGCTGAGTTCACAGAAGTTTGTACTTTGATGCCGGAAGCTGGCAGATCCTGTGTCGAACGATCCGGTTCATTATCTATATAAGGCGGAGGGGTTTGCTTCTGCTGAATACCGATCTTCCTCGGTTCAGTCAACTGTAGATTTGCTCGGCCGGATTTTTCCGCAACAGCAGCTACTGGCTGCCTGGGAATCTCTCGTGCCTGTACAGTTCGTTCAGTAATTTCACGACGACTGGACGTATAGTTCTGCCGAAAAAGCGGTCGGTCTTGCTCTTCAATAAAATATCCAAGCTCTGCTGGATCGATTTCGATGAATGCTCCGGCATCACCTGATCCACCATTGTTAAAGGTAAACATTCGTCCTGGAATCTTCCGGGAAATCGTACGCAAATAATTTCGGCCACGACGAAATGTTGGCCGATTTTTCTGCGGCTATAAAAAAGTTCATTAGCAGACTGTGCTCTGAACAAAATATCTTCGCAATGACTTTGAAAAAAATTTGCTAGAATTTGATGCGTTTTGGCTTCAGAAATCACGCTGGAAATCATTTTTACCGCTTAATTATTGGTATAATTTAAATCGTCAAAAATGCAGTACATGCAAAATACACTATAATGTACGCGATGATTTATGGCTTATTTTGAGAATACCAAAAGCCAGATCCCCTCCTTTTCGCTCTCTGTGAAAGGCAGAAGCAATTAGGAAACAGCCGGGTGGTAGCAAATGCCAGCAGCGTTCACTCTTTGGCAGGACAGTCGATGATTCTCTCCTTCGAAGCAAGATAATGGCGAGTTTGATTTCTTGGAACTGAAAGGAGAATTTTCTACTTTCCCATCAACTAAGTTCTCCTTTAACGGACTTTGAAATACACCAATTAAATCCTACGACCAAATTAAAAGCAGCTTTTACCTTCGCGGTTATAAAAAAAATTTTCACGAAACATCACCAAAAAGAAAGGTTGAAAAAATAGCCGAATTTTTTGAAAACGTACCGTGACTGTAACAAAATATTAACTCAGTATCCGTGATTACCATAAAGGTTGGGCAAATCGGACTAAGGTTGGGAAAACTGAACTAAGGTTGATTTTTTTGCTCGTCTGATTTATTATATTTGGAACTGCATTTCCGAAAGCATCTGGCAACTTCAAGCTTACAATAGGACTGATAGCTTTCCTAAGCGGTTTTAGAGAATATGCAACATCAACTGTACTGCGGACTTTGTTTGACGGAAGGACTGGTTGGCCGTTCGAAACTGAAGTATGAAGTGCCGCTGCTTGTGCCTGAAAAATCTTGCTCTAGCACGCTGAGTTTGTATTTATTGCATTCTGGATTTACTTATGATATTTTTTAGCTTCGGGATGACTGTTCGTGTAACGAACCCACATCCGCCTTCACGGGTAATCTCAGTTTGAAGTTCGACACCGAAATAACCAGTTCCTCTGGTTTAGCTAAAAAGAGATAGAGCTGGCATCATTGAAATATGAGGAGTCTTGCAGGATGAGATTAGAGCTCTATACGTCTATAAGACCGATATCTCTGAAGGCACGCTCTAAAAAATTTCAACTTTTCTCATTTGTGAACATCGTGTAAAAAAAAATCATGACAAACTTTTTTTTGAAAGCGGTTCCAGCATTTTGAGGGCGAGGGAGGGGGAGGGGGAGGAGGGGGTGATGGTGGGAGAAGGGAAAGGAAGGTGGAGAAAAGCTTCAGTAACCAAACTGCATACATTGGCCGATCCAGCGGGGGAGGGGGGTTCCGGTTGTAGTGACGAAGGAAGAAGGTGAGGTAAAAAATCGCCACTCTCCTTCCTCTCATTCCTCCCCCCATCCCCACAAGGAAACCGCCCTGTATCCACTTATGTCTGCGTATGCACGCAGCGAAGCTCACAGTTAAACATGCAGCGCCCACGTTCTCTGGACTGCACAAAATCAGGTCTGTGCTGTGTCTGCAACCCTTCTGCTCGAGAACACTAGTTCAAAAAAAATTTCTATATCGCTGTAAAAACTGACAGAGAATCAGCAAATTATGTGCAGGTTTTCGAATTTCCGAATAAGAATCG